AATCCATAAGAAAAGAATTTTTTCAATCTTCAATGAGGTATGTCTAAGACAACTTGTTGAACAAATAATTTAATATTTTCAATTATGTTTTAGATAACTGTTAGATGCCAACTTCGTATGCAAGGTACAATGATATACAGGAAATAAAGATAGAGACTTACAAAAATAATATCACAACAGAAATAAAAATGAAAGAGAAAAATAAAGACAGTAAAAAAACTAGAATAGTATACCTGAAAACAGCATCCCAATTTAAGTATTTTCCTTGTTTGGAATCTGAATGTCTATCTAAATCTTGAACTATTTCAGGATCCCGAATCAGGCGCTTAAAGGTCTCAACTTCTTTCTGAAAATGAAAAATAATCAGATGAATGTGTTACCAATCACAGATTTGTTCCAAGGAAAAATTAAATTTAAGTAATTTAGTACCCTTCGTTCTGTAGCTCTATCATTTTCCAGTTGCCGGCAACAAATAAGCAGGTTATTAAGTGCAAGACTCATGATTCAGCATTTCAGAACACAAATCCTTTTCTGGAAAAGAAAAAAAAAAAAAAAAAAAAAAAAAAAAAATATATATATATATATGATCTTATTGTGCATGCATTTTTTTTTTTTTGGTGCTAGAGTTAAACCCAGGGACTAAAACCTAATATGCATTAGCTCTATCACTGAGCTACACTTCCATACTATATATAACTATTATACACTATAGCATGGACATATAATTACATCTAATTGTACAGCCATAGGCACATTATGATCAAAGGCACAAAGAAGTTTCTCAACATTTCCATATTAAAATGAGATTTTCTTAAATTGTATCAAAACAATCATTCAACACACAAATATGTTCTCTGCAGCAAGAGGACAAGGAAAAGTGCGATTATTTTCAAAATCAACTTAATTAAAGCTGATTCAATGCTTTCCAAAGAGACAATAGTTTCAAATTTCCATTAAAATGTATGAGAGGGCCAGGGATTTAGTTCAGTGGCATCGTGCCTACCTTGCAAGCTCAAGGTCCTGAGTTCGATCACCAGTACAAAAAAAAAGACATTTCCAGTTCTTATACAGCCTCACCATCAATCATATGGTATTTTCAGTCTTTTCATAAACTAAGAAAAGCCCAGAACCCAATAGATGCACTGCTGAATTTTACCAGAACTTCAGAGAACACCATACTCTCAAACTCTTCCATAAAATTTGCTACCAACTCATTCCTTAAAGCCAGCAATATCTTGATACCAAAACTAGACAACAACACAACAAAAGAAGAAAACTACAGACCAATCTCTTTAATGAACACAGATGCAAAGATCCTCAACAAGATGCAGGTAAACAGAATACAACAAATCATTAATAAGAGCATACATTATGATCAAGTTGGCTTCATTCCAGGGATGCAAAACTGTATAACACACAGAAATCAAAAGAAGTAACAGAGCACCACATAAATAGAAAAATTACATGATCATATAAATAGATGTAGAAAAAGCCTTTGACAAAATCCAACAGCCATTCATGATAAAACCCTGGCAAAAATAGAAGGACCTTATCTCCAACTGATGAAAGTCATTTATGACAAAACCGGACATCATACTAAATGAGGAAAAGCTGAAAACACTCCCTCTAAAATCAGGAGCAACACAAAGGTGCCCATTCTCACCACTCTCACTCAATATAGTACTTGAAAAGTGAAACCAGAGCTACCAGGCAAGTAAAGAAATAAAATATATACAAATAGGAAAGGAAGATGTTGAACCATCTTATTTGTGGATATGATCCTTTACATATAAGACCCAAAAAAATCCACCAGAAGACTCTTAGAGCTAATAAACAAATTCAATTAAGTGGCAGGATACTAATCCAATATAGAGAAATCAATAGTGTTCTTGTACATCAATAATCTACCAAGAAAGAAATCAGAAAACCAATCCCACTCACTTAGGGTTCCTTAGAAAAAGTTACATACCTAGGAATCAACCTAACTAAGGAGGTAAAAGACCTCTATAAGGAAAATCGTAGAACTCTTGAACAGATTGAAGAGAACTTTAGAAAATGGAAGACATCCCCCATTAGTGAATAGGCACAATCAATATTAGCATAATGTAACTTTTTTTTTGGAGATAGGTCTCACTATGCAATTCAGTTTGACTTTGAACTGTGTTGCCCAGGCTAGCATCGAATTCTTAACAATCCTCCTGTCTCAGCCTCGTGAGTGCTGGGATTACAGACGTGCACCACCATGTCTAGCTCAAAATGTCAATTTTTTTGAAGAAAAAACAGTTCGGTATTATCTACATAAACAGAGATGTTCATTCACTGATACATGCAAACAATATGTACTTCACACCTACTGTGTCTGAGTTACCATACTAGGGGGCAAGCTACATGAAATATAAACTAAATTGACCCAAGTCCTACTTTATGGAGACATACCTAGATAGCAGAGTGACAATAAACAGATAAATCAGTCCATAATTCCAAACTGTGATATATGCCTCAAAAGAACCGAAAATACAATAGAAAATTACAGCAGTCATTTTAGATAAACTGTCAAGAAACATATCTTGAAGAAGGTTACAATAAAAGTCAAGATCTAAATGAAATGGTTCCATCATAGAAAAAGCTAGAGTACCAACATTTAAGGGAAGATAAGTAGCAGAGCCAAGAGATTCTAAGGTGGAAAAGAATGTGGTATGAAGGAACTGAAAGGCGACCAGAAAAACTAACAAGCAGTTACACAGAGTCACTACATAAAGATGAAACCCGTTTAGGTATCAATTCAGACTAAGTTCCACTCTCAACATTCAACTGAAATACCGATTTCCTAAGTAACAGCCTCTGAACTGACATCAACGTTCCTTTTGAGATTTCACCCAAGGTGATCTTTTTATAGACTCTGACAATGACTACATCCCCATTTTCCTAAAATAAATCTGCCCTTAGTATGCCATTCCTGTCTGGTGGTTAAGATTTGTGGGTTTCGTAGTCAGAATTCAAATTCTAGTTCAGCCACTTAAAAACTATACAACCTAGGATCGGGGATTTAGCTCAGGGGTGCACCTCCTGCCTCCAAAGTGCAAGGTCCCAAGTTTGATCCCCAATACAAAAAAAAAAAAAGAAAAAACTATACAATCTCTCACAATTTAAATGTCTCCAAACCTGTTTCTCAGCGATAAAATGATAAAACTACCTACCTCAAAGAGTTGTAAGACCACATACACAGCAAATGTTCAATGTTAGCAATAATCATATTCCCTTCCCTTATGACTGTTTCTGGAATCTTATTTTTATTTTAGTATTTATATATTTATTTATGGGACTGGGGACCAAACCCAGAGCCTTGCACATGATAGTCAAGCACTAAACTACTAAACTACACCTCCTTTAAAAATTTTTTATTTTGATACAGAGTCTAGGTTGCCCAGGGTGGCATTTTTTCTGGTACTGGGCATTGAACCCAGGGCATTCACCAATAAGCTACATGCCCAGCTATTTTTTGAGACAGGATCTCCTGAACCGCTAAGTTGCTGAGCCTGGGCTCCAACTTGTGATACTCCTGCCTCAGCCTCCTAAGAGTGCTGGGATCACAGGCCTGTGCAACCATGCCTGGCTTTAAGTCCCTATTTGTGTGTGTGTGTGTGTGTGTGTGTGTGTGTGTGGGTGTACCGGGGATCGAACTCCGTTCCTTGTGCTCGTGAGGCAAGTGACGGAACCACTGAGCTAAATCTCCGGCCCCGTAAGTCCCTATTTATTCCGCCATACCTGAAAGAAAATTCTTGTCTCCTTGCTCGCAACCATTCCTGACTACAACATGGTGAAAACTCCCCATTTTATTCAATGCCAGACCTCGCTCCCGAGCTTTAGAAACCTTCTACATTTCCGTGGCTTTACATGCACTTTTCCTCCTGTCCTGAATGCTTTCTATCCTGCAGAGCAATTGCGAAACTGTTAGGAGTCTCCCCGGCTGAATTTCCACAGAACCTGTCACTTTCCACCAGCACGGTACTCTTCTCACATTACAGTATCACCTTGATTTGTAGTTGTCTTTCTACTCATTTGTACCTCGAGGGAAAAGATGGCAGCTAAGGTTCAAGAGTTCTCATCACAGCTAAGGACTGTAACTTATTTTCAGAAGACAGTACAGAGCACACAGCTGACAACCAGAACTCGAGCGCTGGTGGTGATCCTTAGCCCGTGCTCTTAACCCCGCGGCTGTAGATTAATCTCAATAAACGGCAGGAGACGAAGAGCATTAATTATGAGGGGGGGGGGAATCGCAGTCTAGTCACCTATATAAATCTGAACCCTAAGATTACAGGAAAATGGGACGCGTAGAAGGTCGGTTCAACTCAAAGACATTCAAAGGAGGCTCTGGGCTAAGTCCCGCTGGGCCTCAGCACGAGGCCGGAACAGTGGGGTGAAAAGAAGTGGCGCGGGCAGCTCCAGGATGCGTAAGGCTGCATACAGACAGGGGCGAGAACAGACTAGGTAAACACGAATTTTCCCTCACAGAAGCCACTACTGCTGAATTCTGACGGCCAAAGGGGTACCTGGAGGCGGCGGTGGCTACGGCCCAACTCCGCGATCCCCTGGCCTCCGGCAGCCACAGCTTCAGCGCCCCGTTACCCAAGCTCCTCCTCCCGTTTCCGGTTCAAACGCAACGTGAAGCGCATAGAGCACCTCTCATAAAATAGAAAAGTCAGGCTAAGCGACCGAGCACAAACTGCCCATGCGCACAAATATCACGCGCTCTCCGCTCAAAACATTTGCTCTCCCAAAACAATCGCCGGGATTTGAGAAAACGCGCCTGCGCACTGTCCACCAATGGTGAGCGACTCTGAGTTTTCAACTGGCCCTTAGGCTGGGGCGCCGGCACCCTGCCTGCTCGCCCTCTTCCGTCCCACCCCTCCAACTCTGAGGACGGAAATGACGACAGACCCAAGGAGCATAGAGGCGGGTTTCTTTTCGGCGCCTTTCTTTCTCCCGCGCAAGCGATTGGTTGGCATTGAGCGAAAGAGGCGGGACATATTGCCGCGGGTTCAGCACCGCCGCTGGAACCGGGAGATGCGGCGCAGGAACTGTCGCCGTTTGCTTAAACCTGCGTCTCGTGTCGTACTGTGGTTCCTTCTGCGTCTTGGATCATGCTGTTACCCTCGGACGTGGCCCGGCTGGTATTGGGTAAGCGCGGACACGACGGGGAGGATTATTGGGCTAGGCTAAGCAGGACAGAAGGACCTTTGGGGCCAAAGGTTTTGCCTGGGTGGAGAGGCTCTGGGGTTTTGCCTCGTCGCTTGCAAGTTGAGGATGGTGGTGATTTTCGTCCCTCGGAGGCGCTAGGGAGTTTAAGCCTCTTTGTAAGTGGATGCTGCTGGCTTCAGGCTGCGTGGTGAGGAGAGGGCTGAGGAGAAGCTCGGGCTGCAACAACACCTGGGGCCTGGATTCCGAGGTGCTCAGGCCTGCGCATTTTATTGGGACCCCTGAAAGAGCTGGCTACGTGACCGAAGGGCTGCGTGTACTTTAACCTTTCCTTTGGCAAAACTAGGACCGAAATAGGACTTCCTCTGCCGCCCAGCTTTGCAGAAAGACCTTCCTGACGCCCTTCTCATAACCCGGGCTTAGGAACTACGAATTTGGGACAGCTGCTTTCTCCATACTCTGCAGTATGTCGCCCAGTTCAGAGATGTAAAAAGCCGGTTGCATATTTTTTAAAAAGCAGTTAATTGCAATTCTTTTAATGAGCAAAAAATTTCAGACAGAATGTCTTCTAGTTACACATTTTCCAGCCCCACTTAGCTTTTCCTCCCTTTGAAGAGGGTTAGTTGGTTGGCCGCTTGTGTGTCAGGATGTATTGTCTATATGGGAGATGGTTTTTGTTATTGTTTGTCCCCTGAAAGAATAAAAAGGATTGTACTCCTGGGAATGAGAGCAACGTAAAGCTCAAAACTCGAGCCAATGATTTACAAACATCATGAGATTTAAAAATGGTAAACATCTGTGATGAAACCTCCCGTGGTATCTTTCCACGACCATTAGTACCATTCTTTTATTGTTCAAAAAACCCATTTGTTTTTTGACTTTAAAACACCTAGCACTGCCCAAAAACGTTTATCTTTGTGTAGGACTCTTGATATGCACATTTTTGCAAAAGTTATTAGAGGGAAATGGTTCCACCAATCATTTTTGAAGAAATTAATGACTAAAGGCTAAACTATTATTTTAATGTTGGATCTTTTTTTCTATAGTCTAAATCTATACCTATGGTAAAAAACTGGCTATGTTATAATAGATGTATCTATTAAGCTTATGTGTAAGCCAGCAAAAACGTAAACTTTCACAATATACACTGACATACCTCTTTTCTTCTGTAAATTATTTAAGAATGTTGGCTTCTAACACTTAGGTGATCAACTGAGTTTCAAAAATCAAAATCTTAAAAATAATTTTCAGCCTCATCACTGTTGACATTTTGGTGTAATTGTTTATTAGGACAAGTTGTACTGTGTCAAATTTTGTGGGATATTTAATAACATCCCTGACCTCTGTCCTTTAGGTGCCAGAATATCCCCACCCTGCCCAGTTGTGAGGAGGAAAATGTCTCCAAATATTGCCAGTACAGTATGTCCCCTGGCGAGCAAAATCACCCATAGTTAAAGAAAAGCTAAAGAAAGCTGTATTATTTTGTTTTTTTGTTGTTGGGGGGGGGGTTGGTATTATTTTGTAATTGGAATAATTCACACCAAATTATATTTTTTCTCCTCAAGCTATTCTTTCTTTTAACGGATTAAAAACTGCAGCATCATTGTTTTTTATCCCAAAGATCTTTGTGTTTACATTCCACTTTGCCACAAATCTGGCAATATGCTGCCTGTTACGTCTAAGTATTTTGGACTTTGGTATGGCTTTCCATATAGTCTTTCTTGTAATTTATGTTATTTACTGTAATTGCTAAGTATTCGTGCCACCACCCATGTTTTAAAAGTTGAAAAAATTGTACACTTAGTATACAAAAAAGCAAATGTTGAGACCTAGTGATGTAGCTCAGTTACAGAACACTTGCCTAATACTGTATGTATGAGCATCTGGGCTCATCCCCCAATCCTGCAAAAAAAATTTTTAAAGCAAGCCCTACCACACTCATAGCTGTTGAATTTGTCCGTTAGTATTATATATCTTTCATATATGTATTGTGTATGTTTATCTTATATTAACAGTTTTATTATTTGCTGATTTTTTTTTCCTATCATACCCCTCACCATCTTCAGCCCCTCTCTTGTTGACCCTTTTTCTTCATAACTTTTTTTAGCAAATCTTTTGGTGCCTAATAGGTTCCAAACACTTTCACTTTCTACAGAAAAGTAAACTTTCTCCTCAGCATTCATATAATTAGGTTTTAAACCCTTAAACATATACACCAAAGCACTTTCCTAAACTGTGTGTCACATTATCTAATGCCATGTCAGTCACCCTTTCACAGGTCAGTTATTCATAAAACAGTTTCACTTATTTGTACTACTTCAACTCTCTTTTATTCATCAGAATACTGCACTCTGACTTTTGCACCTCACTACACTTACAGAGCCCTTTTGCTACTTAACTGTAGGAAGCTCTTGATGGAATTTTTGAAAATATTGCATGGGCCAATATATATCAAAGTGGTGTTTATTGACTCTCAGCCACCAGTTTGGTTTTTATCAGTATATCGTACAAGGTACTCAATGGAACTGATCCTACTTGCTTCTCCTGCTTGATCCCATGTTCTTAACTTTTGCCCTATCTGCGGACATTCCAAACTACTTAGTTTCTCCAAATATGATGTATTCTACCTCTTCTTATCTCCCTAATATAGTACGTTTGTATTCAAGAAGAAAGTCAGACATGATCTCTAAAACATCTTACAGCAGTTACACTTACTACTTTGTCTAATTTATTGGTTATAGTTGGGTTTTCTTTGGGGGGGTAAGCTGTTCATAATAAAAATTGTCATTTCTAAATACATAGTTCTGTGGCAGAAGTATGTTCATACTGTTCTGTGCCCATCACTACCATTTACCTATAGAACTTTTTCATATTCTCCAAACTTACTTTTGTCTTAGTATTCCTAATCTTGGATTAATGTATGAGCTTCAAGAGTTCTGGGAGCCTTCAAAACTAAAAATTTATGTGCAGATGGAGACATTTTTATGGGTGAAGGATCCAGAATTTTCTTCAATTTCCTAAATAGGTTTGTTACTTTCTAAATGAGTCAACATCCATTAAGAAAAAGCAGAAATCAGTGTGAGTATTTAACATGGATTTAATGAGGGAATTGGTTACATTGGTGATAGAAAAGCTAACAAGCTGAAACAGCTCATGTGAGTCAGTTTAGAGGTTAGCACAGCAAGAAGCTACAGCACTAATTAGGAGCACAGGGAAAGATAAAGCAACTGTGTAGAAGATGGAGGTAGCTTTGTCTGATAAGGGAGCTACAGCTATATAAATTCTACCAAAGCAGTAAGGGAATGGGAACAGAACTCATGGAGTCTTCCTGCTGCCCACCAATCTCCCACCAGTGCTTCCCATTTAGTAAATCCGGCCAGAAGATGGCTAGCATGTAAGTGTGGGAAGCCTTGCCTGTCTGAAGTGAGACTTCCTGTCGTACATTAGAATGCAAGGGAAGAATGAAGTAATGATTTGAGAGCAAACAGGATGGAGACTGGCACACCCCCTTCCCAACAGTCAGGAGCCACTGGTTCTAGACACCACGAAGACATAGATATTTAGTAAACAGGTACAAAAGAGTAACTGGTCATGACATTTCCTACTGAATAATGCCAGTACTCATTGCTGAGCTTTACAACTTTCAGTGATCTTTACACATTCTGTTTTTTCTGTTATCTCCAGCTGTTCTCTGTGTAGCTTGTGCTACATCCAAATTCTGCATATTCTCCAAATAAGCTCTATATACACTTCTGTCAGCATCATTGGGATTCCTAGCCATTCTTCAGGACTCATCTCATCCTTGAAGCATTGCATAATTTCCCCTAAGTCTGGTAGTAATTTTTCTAGCCCCAGTCTTTTACCACTTTTGCTTGGCATGCAGTTATTTGTATATATACCTTTTGGCTCTTTATAGATCATATTTATAGACTGATACCCTATCTCTGTTATTTGGAGACCTAGTAATATAAGGCACTGAAGCCAAGGATGTGGCTCAGAAGCACAGTGCCTGCCTGGCAAGCACAAGGTTCTGAGATTGATCCCCAATTCCAAAAAAAGCGGGGGGGCACTAAAAATTAAGTCCTTCAAAGAATTATTTACATTTTTCAAGGACACTAAGCTACCAGTATTCTTGAGGAATTAGTAGTAAATGTGAAAGAAATATTTTCACCCAGGGTATTGTACTCTCTTGCTTTCTTCAGGGTTCCCACCCTCCCACCCCTGCTGTACTGGGAATTGAACCTGGGGATACTGAGCTACATCCACACCCTATTATTTAGTTTTGAGAGATTCTCACTCAGTTGTCAATGGCCCACCTCAAAATGCTGCTGTACAGGCATGCACTGCTGGGTCTGGCTCAGGCTCTTCTCTTTTTCTTTCCCTCTTTACAAATACAAAGTAGAGATGTCAAACTCTTGGCATCCCAATTCTTTTTTATTTATTTATTTTCTTTTTTGGTACCAGAGATCGAGCTCAGGGTCCTTGCGCTTGGGCAGCAGGCGGTGAAACCACTGAGCTAAATCCCCGGCCCCCCAATTCTTAAAATTTAAATAATGTTGATAGAGCTAGGATTTTATCTATCACCAGGTTGAGAATTGGTTATGATCAGATACTTAGTAATGATAGATAAACATTTTTATAGGCATGCAACTGAGTAAGCATATATGGCAATGAACTTGGAAGCTTTCAACTATTTCCTACATAATTTTGGAGCTTAGAGGACAAAAAGCAAAATATATCAAGTTCTAATCTAAAATTGGAACTTAAGATTGCGGAAAGTTGGACATATTTTTCAGAGAAGATAATGCATCTCAGATAAAATTGTTTCAAGATAAACTGAACTCTTGTTACAGAAATAATACAGCCTTTTAACAGAGCCTTTCCTCAAGTGTGCTATGCAAGAGTGTACTGTCTTGTGATGTGCACAAATTATGATGATTCTTTTCCCAACATGTTAGCACAAATGACCGTATTCTGTAAAT